CCAAGAGAGAGATCTCCTTCCACCAGCTTCTCCTTCCTCTTTCTCCATACCTTCTCCTTCTCAGCCCTTCCTCCTTCTCACCGAAGCTTCTTCCCTTCCCTCTTCTCTACCAGCTTCTCCCCCTTCCTCTACCACTCTCCTTTCTCCTCCTCCTCCTCGCGAGCCAGGCTCGGCCTTCTGTCCGTCATCCCTTTCCTCCGTCTCCCACTCAGCTTTTTCCCCTCCTCCTTTCTCCCTACTTTCCCCCTCCTGCCACCACCTTCTCCCTTCTCCCCTCTTCCTTTCTCTCACTCAGCTTCTCCCCCTCCTTCTCCACCGGCCACCGTTTCTCTCTTCTCCTCGCCTCCTCTCACCAGCGTCTTCCCCGCTCTCCCTTCTCCAACGACTTGTTCCTTGCTGCACCCGCCGCCTCCTTTCTCCACCAGTTCTCGCCTCCTCCTTCTCCCACCTACCGTTCTCTCTCCCCTTCCTCCTCTCTTCACGCTAGCTCTCGGCCCTCCGCAAACCTTCTCCTTCCCCCCTCCCCTCCAGCCGAATCCGCTGTCTCTCTCCTCGCCTGCCTCGCCGACTCCTCCCTTCTCCGCTTCCTCCAGCCAACGTCCCTTCCCCCCCCTCCTCTCCCCTCCCTCCTTCTCCACGGGGCCAGCTTCTCCCCTGCCCTCTTCTCCGAGCGGCGCTGCTCTGCTTCCTTCTCGCCCACGCCTTCTCCACTTCTCGCCCTCCCTCCTCTTTCCACCCGGAGCTTCGTCCCTTTTCCCCTTCCTCATTCCTAGCCATATTGAGTCGGCCATACGGCCGACGTGCGTATAGCCATATTGAATCTTATCCACACGGCCGCCGTGCGTATATAGCCATATTGAATCTTATCCACACGGCCGCCGTGCGTATAGCCATATTGAGTCGGCCACACGGCCGCCGTGCGTAGAGCCATATTGAATCTTATCCACACGGCCGCCGTGCGTATAGCCATATTGAGTCGGCCACACGGCCGCCGTGCGTACAGCCATATTGAATCGGGCCCACACGGCCGTCGTGCGTATAGTCACTTCCCGCAGCCACAGGCACAGGCACTTGGAGCGTTTCAATATTTATTTATGTGTCAGTGTGCAGCAGCTAGCGTTCGGCAGCCAGCGTGTGTTGCAGATGAGCATTTTGACGGCATTTACAGGAAATTGTCGGCAATAATATGTGAAAAAGAGTAGAGATCGCGAAATATTAAAACTTTGGTACTGGTAGTAAATAGATTGTCGTGCGCGACTCCCTAAGTTTCTCGGTTTCGCGCATACGAAGTTAGTATTGTGGAATATGTGTGCTATGTGTAATGTATTGTTATATTATATCAATATTGCCCATACTAGATGGCGCCAGTTGTTCACCCCGGAGAAGGACCAGAGCAATGATGCGACCGCATTGTACGTTTTGTTTCTTATGCTTCTCATCCTGATTAAAACAAATTTTCTGACTGGCTCGAGTTTAGTTCAAATAAAATTATTTTAACGCGCTTAAAATAGAATAATACGAATACGTGTCATGGCGACCATGGGTTTCCATAAGAAAATTGACGCACGTACGCGTTCACAAACGCGTGGTCGTGTTTGTGCGGGTACTGGGCCGTGTGCGCGTGCGGCTGTTGGATCATCCCTGCTGACTTCACATTCCGGGTTACTGACCTGTCAACTGACCAATGACTCCTGCTTCAAGTAACCCCCCCACCCCCCTGCTTAATTTCCCTCCACACACAACAAATCTATGTAAATACATCACAAATGGCGACGAGGATGGGATCATGAACACACACGATAAGTAGGTGTGAATAGAAGAAACTGTCTTACTACCAATCATCGGTATTTCCGTTTTCGTTGATCCGCACCGGGTGACGAAACGGAGCGCGCAGATTTCTCAAAATGGCGATCAGCTTACAATCGTTTGCTGAATTCGAAATGCACCCTCGAGAAACCGCACCTACCCGATTTGAGAAATATGTGAAGAGACTTGGCAACATGTTTATAGCCATGGCAGTCACAGATCCTGAAAGGCGTAAGGCTATGTTCCTCCACTATATAGGTGAGGAAGCATGTGACATTATCGATACATTGATCATACCAGAACCAGCCGGTGGTGAACATGAGGATACAAATATATACGACCGAACCATAAAAGCGATGACCGACGACATCGAACCTCAAAGATGTACAGACCACCATGTATATTCTTTTCGCAAAGAAACACAGAGAACTAGTGAATCAGTGACAGAATTTCACACTAGACTGCAGATCCTGGCTAAGAAGTGTAGTTTTCAAGACAACAATGTCGAGATCAGACGACAAATTATACAAGGCACTTCAAGCTCGCGCCTAAAGCCCTGGTCACAACGAGCCCACGACGCATTTGTGCAACGACACGACAGAAAATTTGGGCAAATCGTGGGTCATCGGGGGTCGTCGCAAGACAGTCCTACGAAATTTTGAGCATCGTGGCATTACCTATTATATTGATATAATATTATATTTATATTGATGTAAATGACATTGGTTTTATTGGGACCCATGTTCTCTATCCTTGAACCGGACATGGCCCCTATCAGCCTTGCTATGGGCTATGTAGTATGTATGAGTCATGAGTGTCTGTTCACATCGAACAATATAGTAAAATAAGAAGTATAATGGCATTAATGCAGCATTTAACCATAAAAAGTGACCAGAATCACTTATATTTTGTGAAAAAGTGGATTATTTTTTTTACTACTTACGGTGACGTAGCAGGCCTAATCACTTCAAGAATTTGGTAGTAAATTACTAAATAGATTTCGTATTTATAGTTAGCATTATATTTTATTGAAACGCTTCAAGTGCCTGTGCTTGGGCCTATTCCTCAATCCTGTAAACCGCTATTCTATTCTATAAGTATAAGTACTACTACTAATACTATAACTATAAGTACCAAGCAAACAGCTGTTTCAGTTCCATCTCGTAGGCCTATATTGCACTGGTGAGTGCTCAGTCCTAGCACCTCGGTTAGTACTTCTTGTAGTTGTCGAGTCATCACCGTTATGTTCCAGTCTCTATCACTGCTGAAATATCAACTGTTACCATAGATATAGAAGAAGAAAGAGGTACAAATCCACTTTAGGGGATGCACAGAGTTCTGTGTATCACCCACTGATGCACAGACTTTCCTTATAGTTATATCAAGGATTGATGCGCAAATGTTTAACTGCCCACATAGCCATGCTAAAAAGCGTCACCTATTGGACAAAAATACTACTATTATACTAAAAATTATGTTGTGTATTTATATTTTTATTATATGATTTATTATTAATTACCAATTACCTTATTGGGCATTAAATAACGCTAGCGCAGTACAGGCCACAGCCGTGTAGTGTAATTTTGTTGTTTTGTGTGGCGAACCAGCCCACAGCCACGGCCGAGACTATATACGCACGGCGGCCGTGTAGATAAGATTCAATATGGCTATACGCACGGCGGCCGTGTGGAGGATATTCAATATGGCTATACGCACGGCGGCCGTGTGGCGGACTCAATATGGCTATACGCACGGCGGCCGTGTGGATAAGATTCAATATGGCTATACGCACGGCGGCCGTGTGGTGGACGGTAGGCTA